ATACACATTTCCTTGCTTTCAAATTAAACGTTGGCTTTTTCTTCATTTAATCAAAAAAATAACAAACAACGTGATCATTTCAACATCCCAACTGTGATTATTATCTACTGCAAATATTGGTACAATACTGAGAACGCTCTGCATTGGTCTCGACTCTCAGGAACGAGACAGAAACTCACGACTCAATCCCTATCTCCAAACCCAAAACACAACCATTTCACCAGCTGACCCAGTTCCTAAATGAGTCTTCATCTGACAGCGAGGGATACCCGAGGCGCCACAACGTAAATCCTTCAGTCAAATTAAAAATAATACCAAACAAATCTGGAGAAGCATCCATTAGTTTAATGGGCTGGCTTATTTGTGAGCATGTGTTCAATCTGTGAGGCCACTTATTCCACTGACAGAGGGAAAAAAGTTTACAGCAGCAACCATTTTGCTGCAAATCACAACCCTTGTGGGGAGACATTAGCTTGGAGACTCTTGGCTCGGTCACAGTAAACCCTGAAAAATGTGCTGGAATGAGCTGATCAAACCTAGTCAGCCACTGTAGTGAACTGGAAAACCACCCGTGATGTCTGGCAGGGGATTATGCCGGCAACCAGTGCCAGAATATCTGCCGGGTAAGATTAGAAAATGGAGGATTGGCTGGTTAAAACTGTTGCAGCAACTAGGATTGAGGTCCAGTGGGTTCATTTGAAGGGTGTCAAAACTCAACAGGGCTCTTGTTGACACTTTTATGCCCCCTTCACTTGAAATGATGGACCCTCTGCGCTCAACATGATTCATACAACTATGTTACTATCAGGGACAATCTGGGGGAAAACTTCCTTCAGTCGGTACTCTCCAAATAAGGTTCTGCTTGTTATTTTCTGCATCACTGACATGCTCTCCTGCACCCTCACCACAAGTAAAAGTCTGTGCCTCATTCTCACAGAGATCCTTTCATGTTTGTCCACAATCGTATCGGGACCAGACCTGGCAGGACTCTTTTGGACGGTGTCAGGAAGCATGAAGCTACCGCACGATGGGGTCGAAGCCTGAACACGAGGTCACTCTGGCCAGTCTTGACTTTGGTCAGTTTTGCTTCAAAAAGAACTGAGCTAGGACTGAGGGCATGGGCTGCCAGGCACGTTGCAAGATTTTCAAAAGTGTGGGGGATGTTGTCTGTGCCTAAAATAATTTCATGTTATTCATCTTGTTAGTTTAATTTCCATAATAGCGGAGCAGGTGCGAATTTTAGACGCGTCACGCATGTCTCCGTTTTAAACATGTTTAAACTGTTCAGAATACAAATCCAGGCTCTGTCTCGTTAGATTGGTGCAACTAAAGTTTGTACTGAATGAAACTTTACATTAAACCATGTTGAAAAGAAAAGGATCCGATTAAATCGTTGTCCCCTCATTTACAGTCACGTAGTACAGCGCAGTGCGCGTGGCTCTGGGGTTAATCAAGTTTAATTGTTTCTTTTTAAAACAATCTTAACAAGAAGGCAAAACAGTTAAATGGCAGGTTACAGATATTTACATTTGACTGTTTATTTTGACAGATAAACTCAAGGATGTTGGTTGTTTTGAAAGAATTACCCCAACACACACTGATGCGCACACAGATGAGCTGACATTTTAATCGTTACGCACATCGCGGAGGTAACTAAATCAATCAAGAAATGATTCCCATCAGAACATCAGAGCTTTATACTGGACACTGTGTTCAACGCGGATCGGAGTGCACACGGTGGACAGTGAGCTGAAGATCTGTAGAGGGGAGCGCAGCGCAGTGCAGAACCACGGCGCATGCGGTAAGATTTCCTCCCACTGAAACGGTCTGGAAACCCGGTCTCTCTGAGGGATGTGTCACCTGGAAAAATGTTCTCTGATGATGAAACCTTGGCTGAATAGCGCTTGTTCCCGTCTCTAATATGGAGACGCATGACGCATCCAGTCTGAGGCAGAATAGCCTCTTCAGCTCAGAAAGCACCGGTAGAGACATTTGATCACGCACAAAGTTTATGTGGAGCAGAAGCGGTCGGGCCACGGCTGGTGAAATGTTCCTAGCCTACATGAAGTGAAACTGTTTAATTGTAACAATAATATGTTACTGGACACGCTGGTCTGGTTGGTTAGACCAGTGTTTGAAGTGGAAAACACACACACACACATACACACACACGTACACACACACACACACACACACACGCACACACACACACACACACACACACACACACACACACACACACACACACACACACACACACACACACACACACACATACACACACACACACACACACACACACACACACAATTTAAAATAATGCTGATAGTGTGGACTAGAAGACAGGTGATGGTTTACGTGTTTAAATGATGATCAGGCTGCTGTAAAATGTAATCTCCATCCACATCCAGACACAATTATCCTCTATTCTTTCTCTATTTGCTCTGCTCTTGTCTGGGCTGACGTAGCTGACGGTGCGCGCGGCACGCCTAGCGGCTGTGATGCACATTTTACGCATTTGGAGAGGTGGGCTGGATACTTTGCTTTTACTGGAAGATGGATTTTTTTCCCCAAAAATGTCGGAGATTTTGCCCCATGAATAATCATAAAAACTACTGGTCTGCATGTACCCTTATGAAAGAGTCCTACGTTGAGAGGTAAATATTAGAAGTGCAGGTAATGCATTCTGGTGCCTATAAATGAAAAATGGATGAAAAATTAATTGGGAGTTTTACTTCATATTTTAGAAATAAAAATGACGAGGGAAAACATTTATGATGTCTTTTTAAACAAAATTTTCTAGCGCGACCTGCCTGCTTCACTTAAGTCACTGCTTATTCAAGTCCATCCAAAATTACCGTGGCCCACCCAAAAATGAAAACCTGGCGCAGCGCCTGTTATAAACCTCTGCAAATAGTTGTTCTTCACTTTATCAAACTCAGAGTTTGTACAGCTAATGTCAAGATGTAAAATTATGAATTCAGTCGAGCTCTTCCCTCCATCCCTCTTCTGTTTCTCCTTGAAACCCAACATTGGCTGCCGGGTTTCAAGGAGAAACAGAAGAGAGAGGGGAAGAAGGAGATGAGGCAAACAGAGTGAGTGCGAGAAACTAGACTGGTGTGGAGGTGAGCAAAACGGCTGGAAAAGTGTGGGTGTTGAACGATCTCAATAAGAAAAGTGTGGGTGTTGAAACCCCCACATCCCCCACAGGTGGATGTGTGCCCATGTGGGCCGCTGCCACCATGCTCCACCCAGTACACTCAGACACTGCCACCACTGTTGTTTTAAGTGGCACACATGTCAAAATTAGGGGTGTTTTGGCAAGAAACAGGTGTTACAACGTATATAATGTTAAAGGCCCATTAGTTGTCACACTGGTGTGCGAAATTTGTTCTCTGCATTTGACCCATCCCTTGGGGGAGCTGCAGACACGGTCATACTTGGGAACTATTTGTTGCTGGGTGTCAAGTGGGGAGCATCAGGTCCTATTAGTCTTTGGTATGACCCGACCATGGATTTAAACCCATGATCTCCCAGGCTCATGGCAAACACTCATATCACTAGGCCACCGAGATGTATCACAATAAAGAGATGGTACAATATGATCCAATACTTAAAGCAAGATGCAATTTGCTCATTTTAAGACAGACGTTTTTTGGGGGGGGAATGCAAGCTATTTCAGACATCCAGTGTTATCAAGATCTTGCTGTTTCATCAAAAGAAATGACGGTTAAAAACTGCTGCCACCTAGCAGTTGGAGTTTGAATTGCACCACACAAAGGAAATGCAGTAAATGGAAATTCTTAATAAAAAAAATTGCTACTGTTTTTTATTTCGATTAGGTATCATGACACAAAATAATGTAATATTTCAGTAAATCTGTATTTTGTCACATCCCTTTCGTGCTCAATCATGAGTCCACTAGGTTCTTAGTGAACACTAGATGAGTCTTGCATTTTATAACCCTTCCAAAGGTCAAATCCAATGGTTTCCTCACATCACAGCTGGCCGTCATCTTATTGTACGTATCCCTAAAAAAACACAACCATTCCCGAATGAAAATCTGCATCCTTTTCAAATTCATGTCCAATGACCCAACAATAACGTTAAACTCAACTATTTATCTACTTCCATTTAATATGATCCATGGTCCAGCACCTCTTACTGCTACTCTATCTCTAGCAGCAGCCTTTATTAAAACATACTGGGAGTTAGTCAGAAATACTAGCATTGTGCCTTTTGCCAAAGGCTAAAATCAACCAGTAAAAACATTTGGTACAATAGTTCATTATGCCATGTTTAAGCCCTTAGAGGAAAACAAACAGCTAAACGTCCATATTCATGTCCCAGCAAAGGTTTTCCTCAATTAAACAAGGATTGTAGAGCTACAGGGGGATAACACACAAATACAGAGGGTTTTCCTCCCACTGCTGGTCTGGATACCATAACAGTCCAACGAGGTGAGAAAGGACATTTCAAAACAGAGTAATTCTCCTCAGAGTCGCTTCTGGAATTCTGGTATACTCTCCTGACTTCTCAACTTGGTTTTTTTGCCATACCTTTGTAAATCCTTTCCTCCTAAAATGGACACTGAATAGCTTCACTGCTCTCTTTGCAGCACACAGATGTTTTTGGATCCCATCACACTGAGTTAGAGCCTAACAGTGGGCTGTCCTCTTAAGTGGGTCTCTGAAACAGAACTTTGAGACTGTTTCTAACGTAGGATGCAAGTTTTATTTCCACACTGCATCATGTTCATTTATAAATCAGGTTTATGTCAAGGAAATGATCAGTGAAAGCTTAAAGAGATGGTCCAAGAGAAAAACAGGAATTGAAGGGGAGGGGGGGGGGGGGGGCGCATGATTACTTGGTTTTGCCTTGATAAGTAGGACAAGAACGCTGTAGCCAAGGCACAGAAAAAATGAGCACCATGAAAATTAATATTGGTCGTTTTCAACAAATGAAGAACAGATGGAAAAAGGACAATTTTGTTCTCTTACCTCTAAGAAGCAGGATCCAGCTGCAGTGTTCTCTTTAACAGAGGCATTGTAGAACCTTTTGGGAAACTCTGGAGTGTTGTCGTTGACGTCCTGCAGCACAATGTCTACCTTCACTTTGGACGACAGAGGGGGGCGGCCACCATCCGTTGCAACAACAGTTATACTCGGGGCTGGCTCTGATTCAAAGTCCAGAGCAGTTGCAGTTGTAATGATCCCCGTAATTGGATCGATTGAAAACCAGTCAGAGTGAGAGTTTTTGCCCTTCAGTAGGCTGTATCGCACGTCCCCATTGGGGCCCTGGTCCTTGTCCCTGGCTGTTACCTGAAGAACAAAGGACCCAGGGTACACAACCTCAGGAATGGTCTGTCTATAGGCCTGCTGGTCGAACAGAGGAGGGTTGTCATTGACATCAGTCACTTGGATGGTGAAGGAGGACTCCGCCCTAAGAGGAGGCGTACCCGAGTCTGTGGCCATCACCCTGAGGTCATAGGAATCCCGCTCTTCTCTGTCCAATATCTGGTCTACATATATCAGGTAAATGATGCTGTCTTTGGTTGTGAGAGCAAACTTCCCATCACCCCCCTCAAGGGAGACGTTAACGTTGGCGTACTCTCCATAGTCTGGGTCGGTGACTGATATCCTAGCTACATACTGGCCTGGTTGGGCTCCCTCTGAAATTCTTGGGGAGCCATCCTCACTGAGAAAGATGATGGTCATGGTGGGCTGGTTGTCATTGAAGTCACGGACATGAATGGTAACAAACGCATTGGTCACCTACAAAGAGATTATAGTATAGTGTTAGTGGTACTTGAGAGTTTAGTTTGGGTTTGGTCATAAAACTGGAATTTGGACATCTCACAATCTTTTGATTGGAGCAAGACATAAACAAACATAATTTCCAGCTGTCACTGATTATAAATTGTAAAGCCGTAATTGTTTATTTTCAAATTAACTCAATATGCTAAAAACGATTTGTAATGTATTTGACAGTGGCAATAAATGATGATAATTAAAGATAGATGAAAACAATATGTTTCTTTTATACAAGGGGTTTGAAAATCTGTCTAAATCCTTTGATTTTTTTTTAAAACTGTGTAATAGAATGTTTATTGCTATGTATTAAGTTGTCATGCGAGAACGCTGACACTAACAGAGGTCTCTGGAGCTAATTTGAAGTAGATCGGATTTATTGCTGAGTAAACCAGTGAGCTGCTTTTAACTAAATGCATTTGAAGTTTTGCAAAAGTTAAAATGATTTATAATTTTGATCAACTTTTTAAATTGCTATTAATAAAAGCAATAACAATAACAAGTTTAGTTTATATTAATCATTTGACATCAATTAAAGAGGCAGACTTTGGCTTGATGATGTTGATAAAAGAAAGCCAAAGAATCTCCAATGTCATTTGTAGTGAATCTTAAAGGGAACATAAACACATGAATCAGATTTACTTTCTAATAAAACGTTTAAATATTCTTCTCCAAACAACAAATTAAAGTGTCACCGGGACCCTTAAAGGAATAACTGCAAAAGTCATAAGATGTCTTCGTCTTGGAATTTTTTTGTAATCCAGTCATTCTATGTTTAACCCTCTCAGGCTCAAAATAAGTTTTGATAAAAGGACGAACAACTAAGTCCGTCAGGGATACTTCTGAGTTAAAAAATGTTCAGAAAATACATATGTGGAGTAACCAGGTAGGTTTTAACTGTTGCAAATCTGCAACGCCTGCCTCCAGAGGGTTAAACAACTGTCTCCTCAAAAGGCTCCTAGGGTGATGATGTCTAACTCCAGCAGTCATTGGGTGAAAGGTCCTGGACAGTTTGTCCCAATGATGGACTATTCACACCTAAATATAATTTAGAGTCACCAGTTAAATAGATATTCATCTTTTTAGGTCTGCAGAGAACTTGTAAAAAAAACTAACATAGGCATGGAGAGAACATGCCAACTCAATACGGAAAGGCTGCACCGGTAGGATTTGATCTAGGGACCATCTTGCTACAAGACAAAGGTGCTACCACCTGCACCACCTAGCAGTCAACAGTCAAACAAGCGGGGTACACCCTGGACAGGTTGCCAGTCCATCACAGGGCAACACAGATACACACAGGACAAACAACCATGCACACACACACTCACACCGAAGGACAATTTCGAGAGGCCAATTACCTGACAGTCATGATTTTGGACTGTGGGAGGAAAAGAGAACCCTCACATGCACAGGGAGTACATGCAACTCCTTGCAGAAAGACCCCAGGCCGAGATGTGAACCCAGGACCTTCTTGCTGCATGGCAACAGCGCTAACCACGGTGCCACTGTGCAGCCCATGTTTAATGTTCAGGTTTAAACCAAAACTTAAATTATTCCATCATCATGAAAAATAACAAAATGGATGTTAAACAATTTAATAATCACTAAGCATCACTTAATAAAGCACAGTTTATAACTATTAAGGGGTTACCTCAGGCTGGCTGGCATTATCTTTGGCTTGGACCACCAGTTCATGGACCCTCTTCAGCTCAAAGTCCAGAGGTCTATTTAGAGTGATGACCCCTGATTTTAAATCAATGACAAAGTAGCGGTCAGGGTCGCTCTGACGGCGGTTGATTTCATAAAGGATGAGACCATTGTCGCCCTCGTCGTCATCTGTAGCAAACACCTGCAGAGACAAAGTGAGTCAGTTAATGAAACATGCTGTAAACAGTTTCAGTTACCCAGCAAAACTACTAATATACTAACCTGCAGAATGCTGCTTCCTTGTGGGAGACTCTCAGAGATGATTGCATGATATCGGCTCTGGTTGAAGACGGGGGCATGATCGTTGATGTCAGTTACTGTCACTTCCAGAGTCAGAGATCCAACCCTCCTGGGCGAGCCCCCATCAAAAGCTTCTACAGCCAGTGAGTACGACGAGCGTTTCTCTCTATCCAGAATTCCATTGACCACTAAATCTAGATACAAGACCTTGTTAGCACCTCGTTTAGTCTCAAGTCTGAATGTCTGGCCGACGTTTCCCTCTTTAATAGCATAGCCTTGAGTGGTCAGCTGGTCTTTGTCGGAATCGGTCGCAGGGTCCAGGGAAAACCTCGTCCCCACTGCAGTGTGTTCAGGGATCTTAAGAACAACCTTCTTTTTGGGGAAAACAGGAGCGTGATCATTGATGTCGTTAACAGTGATAGAAACCTCAATGGTGGTGCCCGTCATCGTCACAGCGATGAAGCTGTAGTGGTCCCTCTCCTCACGGTCCAGAGTGCGCGCTGTTGTAATGATGCCCGTGGTCTCGTCTATATGGAGGTCGCTGCCAACTGCTTTACCCTCATGGTCAGAGATGAAGTAAAGGGTTGCTGTTTCACCGGGTGGCAATCCCGCACTGATATCTCCAACTATGGTCCCTGCTGGCTGGCCTTCATCCAGCTGAAGCTCCAGCGCTCCAAGAACAGTTGCTGACCGAATCAGGATGAGAAAGAAATAAATCACCAGCCTCTGTTGGCCCAAAGTCGAACACAAGCAGGGTCCGCTGACCCAAGCCCTCCGTCTTGACCTTTTACTTAATATTGGCATGACTGGGCATATACCTGGAAGAAAAACACACAAAATAGAAAAACATTTTTTCATGTGTTTTCATTTATTTTTTTTGCTCAAAGACATCTTGAAAACTTCTAAGTGTTCCATATTTCAAAGCTGAGTAATCATCCTAAATCCCTGCGTGACAATGTTCTAACACATTTACAATCCAGAACTAATATTAAAGATGTGGCATGATAAATTTCAGCTTTGTCCCCCATAAAATGGATGTTTATTTAATTGTACTTTATACGTAATGTTTTGGGAATTGCTCCTCAGCTGGAAGGTTTAAGAAAGCATGAAACTCTAAATCCGTCTAGGATCAGTTTGAGAACAGTCATTAAGATCATTTATTTTGAGGGCAACACTTTTTGGTTTCTTCATCGCTGAGAACATGTTAAATTTCTAGAGCGTTACAAAGTAAACCATAAAAACAACACACATGGAACTTGGCACTAAGACATGAACTGTTTAGTCCCATTCATTCTAATAAAAAAACAAATTCAACATTTTATGGTTCCCATCCTCTAGAATATGAGCACATCCACAAATCCCTTCCCACTTTTGATACTAAATCCATCTCATCTATCATATACTGAGTGAAGCATTATACATGCAACACCTGTCAATAAAGTTTTGCATCACATTGTATAAAAACTACAGTTTTACTGCTGTTCCAGGAAGTCAAATGTTTGTTGTTATTTGGAACATTAATCTCATGTTTTTAACCCTTTAGAACCCAACCCCTTTTGTATTAGAACACAGATTGGAATAAATACATCAAAATGTAGAAAACATTTAATAAAGTAAAAAGATTGAATCATTTTCATTATTTATATGGACAGAATGTCACTCGGGGTTTTCAAACTTGAATATTTGACTCAAGAAGCAATTTTGATGTTTGAAAGGGGCTGTGACACCAGTGTCACCTTGGGTCCTTAAGGGTTAAGGGCTAGGGTAAGGGTTATGGTCCATCTAGATTAGGGGTGTAACGGTTCACAGGGCAGTGTTGAAGCATTTTCCCCCGTGACATTTGATGTAAAGTTTTCATCCTACAACAAAAAGTACGGCATGGAGGAAGCTCGTTATTTAAAACGAGTTTTAAAGAAAATTTTCTGGGCAGAGTGAGGTGAGTTTTTAATGCCCGCTGCAGAAATTAAAACACGGGGCATCAACAGTCAAACACAACACTTGTCTGTATGAACGTGACACTCATAGCTGCACGAATAATCTGTGAAATAATTGAAGACGTCATGCTCGATCAGCAGCCTGTGATGACACCTGGTTCTTCTCACTGCTTTACATACTAAATTAATATAATAATAATAATATACCAAAAACTAATCGAACCGAGCTCTTTAAAACACTGAACTGAACCAAATACGATTTTTGCGTACCGTTGCACCCCTAATCTAGATCTAACACTCTGAGTTTAAGCAACAAATTAAATCCATCTTCTGGTTCTTTTGGAAAGTTAAAGGTACACTAAATAATCTAGTCATATTTTTAAATAACTTTATTGTTCCAGTAGATGCTACAATGACCAGGGGTATCAAACTCCAGTCCTTGAGGGCCGCTATCCTGCATCTTTTTGTTGTTTACCTGTCCCATAGTTGATTCACCTGTACAGCAGCTCAGCAGGCTCTCCAGAAGCCTGTTAATCACCTGCTGATTGAAATCAGGTGTGTTGAAACTGGGAAAACACTAAAACATGTGGGATAGCGGCCCTCGAGGACCCGAGCTTGACACTTGTGCTTTACAGGTGAATGAATTGTCTCTCAGCCCCTTCTACTCCTTTTGGGTAGAATACCGCATTTGTAACTTGAGCTTCTCTGTAATGGTGACCTAAAGTCTTGCAAAGTCACGTATCTCGTGAGAAGCAGAGCAACAATCCATGCTTACACCTCAGAACCATTGCTGTGAAGTCTCCTGTTTTGGCCGGGAAACTCACATATTTTATCATAGTAGTATTTTACCAGAATATTCCCGTTTTATGTTCATGTAAAAAAAAACTCTTTCCCCACTCCCTCGATATGACGGAGGCCGGAGCCTTGCTTGCATAACCCTTCTTGCGCAAACCAGATTTTTTTCATCATGGCGGAGCCTCCGAAAAAAACAAAAAAAATTTTTATCCGTTAAAGAGAAAAAGAACATCTGTCCGAACAAGGGGTCAAACAACAGTCAACATCAGGAAAGTGTTTTCTGAATAGTGAGCTCAGAGACAAAGAAGGATTCTAACTGGATGCAGACGTTGAGATCATGCCATTGTGCTTGTAGTCCACCTTTAATATTTGGTCAGCTGGTTTGAAAACATCGGCGCAGAGTGAGTGTTCCTTTTACGACACTGATCTAAAATGAACACTAGGGGGTGCTAAAGAAAGCCAGAACTGTCTTGTGTCCCTTTAAAACAAACATCTAGTTATTTAAAAAATAAATAAGAGCCAAATATCTTCTGAACACTTATTTATACTCCGATTTCTATGCAATTTAAAAAAAGCAAACAAGACACATGGTGATGAGGTTCACAAATATTTCACTACTTTTATGTGATGTTCACAAATAGAGAAAGCAAGTTTTGTTGATGACGCAACTTCTCAAAACAGCCTGCAACATAAAAGTCCATTTGCATAAATCAGCTGTGTGACAAGAACAATGCAGCTTTGAAACATCAATCTTAAAATCAATACTTAGAATCTATGGAATATGAAGGACTTGCCCTCCTAGTCTTTCTTACAATCAACAAATGCAGGAAAATAGCAGTGGCAGACTGCATGAGTTGTGGGTGTTGGTCCATATTGGTCAGCCATATTCACCCAGATAATCACTCCCATAGTGCAACTATAATCTGGACAGTTAACTTAAGGAATTTCTTCCGACCCTAAAGCAAAAAGGCAGCCTGTTTCCAGTTGCAGTGCTTGCTCACACATTCAAATGAAATGCTCACAAGTGACTTATCATCTAACTTATAGTAATATGATAACAGGATGTAAAAACTTTCTTTATATCCTCCAAGCATTATTCTTGCATCACAGCTGTTATAGCAAATCTGCAAACCAGCTGGTTTTGAATGCAAACACGGAACAGTCACCCTCTTTGAGTATTTTCGCAATTCTGGATGAAACGAGAGAGCACTAAGCACCAGTCTCCATTTTCTGGGTCCAAATGTCTTTTGTTGTCCGTGATTTCAAACTGTGTTTTTCTTTTTGGTTCTGGTTGAAGTGATAGCAGCCGACTGTTTTTCCTTCTGATATTATTGACCCGAGAACCTTTCACACCAGTGGTGCTCTTTTGCTAAATACGTGAGCGTGTAATGAATGGAGGACCCAGGGAAGTGTGCAGTTTGACGAGACCAACAACCAGATAGTCCAGTAGTTGCTTTTGTCCGAAACGTGCTATTGGCAGAGGTTTTTAGACTGATTCATGAGAACCACTTCATTCATTTATTTTGTTTGTTTGTTTTTATCTCCATAACATATTTTTCTAGCTATACTATGTTAGACTGTTGTCAAGAGGCATGAAAAAAGATGTTTTAAGCCAATTTGTTTTCCATATTTCCCGTTGTAGCTTTAATGTCAGGGTTTTCTTTTAATTTCTGCTGGTGAAGGTTCTCAGTCTTCCAGGTCATGGTAATCCAAAAGGGTTCAATTGAAGGCACCTTGATTTCTTTGGTTTCTTTTCATTTCTTCACCAAGAACGTTGGTAAAAAAAATAAAAAACTATCTAAATGACATCCAAACATGTGGCTGAAATGGGGGTGGTGTGTTATGACACAATTTCCACAGTTGAAATCCCTCAAACAAAGTTGGACTTTATGTAATTAAACTAGCAATATGTTTATTTTTTTCATGATTGCAATGTATGGTTTTCCGACTTTAAGCACTTGTACAATGAGATGATGTCATCAACTCTAAACTTTGAATGCAAATTCTTCTTACTGTCAAAATGTTTCTTTTATATTATTATTATTTTCCCTGCGTTTTGGTGTCCCTTGTGTCTCCATTTAGATTTATTCTACGCCTTCCCTCAGCTCCAGTCAGCGATCGTGCACACCTGTTTCTCATTACTAATCAGCTCACCTGTCCCTGCTTTGTAATCACTCCTCTCAGTTTATAAGTTCCCCTGGTTCATGCACCACACCAAGTGTCACACGCTCCTGTTATGTCCAGTTGTTTCCAGTGTTTGTACCCAAACTTCTGTCACACAATGAGTAATTGCATGGCCACCAGCGCTGACGTCGTTAGGTCCGTTTTAGGGGGGCTTCAGCCCCCCTAAAATAATCACAAGTCCCCCTATCATTTTGGTTTATTTTATTTTTTCAGTTAACTTTTTTTATTTGTTCACATCTACATGCTCAACACAATCACGACACGTGTAGTTGGTACATGAGTTTTTTTTTAGTCTGAAACAGAAATAATAATTAATGAATATAGAACTACACCGTTGCACACAGGAAGCATCAAGAAAGGACTTTCTCCCCTTAAGCCCGGCAGCTTTGTTGACAAGTCAGGAGCAGGGGTTATACAGCAAAACCTTTATATCGATGAGCAAACCCTGCTCAGCGCTCTTGTAAGTCACTCAACATCACATTAGGGTAAGACAGCAACAGCAGCACACCGTTAATATTTCAAGGTTATAGTTCAGACGAGAGAGGAAAATGTTACCTCACCGACATGCTAATGCTAACTCCACTAGCATGTTTACATGCCGCAAACCATAATGAAAAGCCGCGCCATAGTTAAATGGTCGGAAAACTCCCCTGAAGTGACGTGATTAACGAGTCAGCCAGTTCATTGAGTGACTTAGTGCCACCAACTTGAGCGTACAGTAATGAGTCTGCACAAACAGAACCTGCTCTGCGCTTGTGTGCAGGAGCTGCAGCCCCCTCTGTGGGCTCAACTCTGTCTCTGCGATGCAAATCTCTCCCTGCTCTCCTCAACAAGTAGCCTCTCCAACAGTCAATCACAGACAGCTCTGTTTTATCCAATCAAAGCATGTCCAGGAAACGCTGCTT